AAACTCCATGAGGGGCAGAAGCCCTTTTGTCTGTTTACTCCTGCAGCCCCAGCACAGTGCCTGCACAAATATTTGTGAATGACAGAGTGAAAGGGACAGGCCTGCAACAGGGTGCTGGTGGGAAAAGCTTTTGTTCTATAGCCTCCTTCAGCCTAAAATCATTTCCTTCAGCGCCTAACTTCATTAGTTTTGGAGAAAATCTGCATCATTATCTCTGTTCCCCAGCTTGGATGGAATTTAGGATTCGAACGATAAGCTATAAAAGGAACAAAATCCAAGATGTAAAGAAATACCAAATAGAGAATACTCCCCCGAGTGGCTACACATCTTCACTGTACGCAGTAATCTCTGTGTTCAGCTATTGAGACTAGAGTTATTTACATGTTTCTAATCCTCTTACCTTCTAATCAAGATCATTCCAATAGCTTTTCATTTAGACTTTCAATTGCGTTATGCATTCACAGGCATGTCTTTGTCAGGTGCTGTATTGGTACCATTATAATCTCCTAGGGATTAAACAAGTATTCATTCTTCAAATGTCTAATATGGTTCAGCTCTATCAGAGCTACATTTTTAAGTTTTCCATGCTAATGCCTTCATGCAATTAATAGTAAATTTAAAATGAAATAGTAATGAAAATAAATCACCTATATGTCTGAATGTTGTCTATCATAATCTTCTCTGATTTAATTAGTTTTTACTTGACTACTTAGAAGAGGCATGTACAGTTTTTGGATTTTTTCATAACATTTTTCTTCTCTTCTTTCCTCTTCTCGCTCTCCTCTGAGCAATTGCACTTTACTAAGAATTATGTGAGATAGGATAGGAGAGATGAAAAGAATTATGTGGGATAGGGTTGGAGAGATGAAAAGATTTAAAAATGGCAATAATAAACTTTGCTTTTCCTTAAGGAAAAACGTATCTCATAGTACAGGCTATGTTTTAAGAGCTGATGAAAGAAAAAAGGACTGTTGATGTGAAATAAGATTTAAGGTAGATTTGAGTTAGTTATGCATTTATTCATTTAAAAGTATTGAACAGTTGCAATGAAATATTCTGTGGGAAAGGTGACATTAAGGCATTTAAAGCCATACAAAGACTAATTCTTAGTGACAAAGTCTTTGTGCCACACCTCACCCCAAGTTTTAACTATTTTTAGACAATTAACCCCATATATATTTTGTAGTTAAATAAACATAAGTTGCCCGGCTGGTGTGGTTCAGTAGTTGAACATCGACCTGGGAGGTCACGGTTCCATTCCCCGTCAGGGCACATGCCCGGGTTGCAGGCTTGATTCCCAGTAGGGGGCGTGCAGGAGGCAGCCAGTCAATGATTCTCTCTCATCATTGATGTTTCTATCTCTCTCTCATTCTCCCTTCCTGTCTGAAATCAATAAAATATATTTTTAAAAAACCCACAAGTTATGTATTTCTTGATTCTAATTTTGCATAAATATATTGATAATTCATAATTATCAATGGATGATTCATAATTTTGCATAAATATATTGATTAGGGAGGTATTTCTGAAGGGGAGGGAGTGGAGAGGTTGGCATGGGGTTGTGTAATGGACAGGCTCCAACAGATTAGGTACTTGGGCTTATAATGGGCATTGTTGCCTACCCAGCACTCATTTAAACCTCCCAACTTAACCCCAGTTTTTGTTCTTGCATCTTCCCTTCTCAGCCAGTGTCCTTAAGGAGAAGCTGATCCTACCCTGAATTCCAGGGGTCAGCCTTATTGGAATCAATCCCAGCTCTTGCCAGTAAATGGCTCTGGAACACAGGTCTAAATATTGGTTTAGGAACGGACCACTGAGACATTGAGAGGAAGTTTACTGAGAGTTTTTGGGAAAGAACTTCATCTTGACATTGTTGACTAGGTATAAGAGGCCTGGGGCTATGCAGCTATTTTGCTGGCAGTCTGAGGATAAGGCCTGCAAAAGCGGAGATGGGGACAGAGAACAGAGCTGGAGCCCTGACTGAACTACGCCCTCCCCTTTGCCCTTCCTACACCTTACTACTGAGCCAACGACTAGCCTTGATTTAAAAGCAATTCTTACTTGAGATTTCTATTTCTGGAAGCCAAAACAAACGTCTTGCCGTATAAGATTCCAATTTATACTTCCTTAATGTTGTTTATGGTTTGTTTTTTTAAACTATAAGGTTTGGAATATTTTTCTGGTTGTAAAACTAATACATACATGCTCATTGTAGAGAACATAGAAAATGTTGACAGATACCAAGAACCATTAAATCCACTCAGCATCTCCTTACCCTAGTACCTGCTATTAATGTTTGGAATTAGTCTTTTCTTTACATAAACCAACTTACATATATATTTTACATATACATTTATCCTGCTTTAGAGGAACTCATAGCCTAGTGGGAAGTGGGAAACAAAACAAAAAGCCAAACAGATGAATATCTGTGACTATGCACAGTTATTACCTGTGTTGTTGAGTCAATGACTGCTGGTAATGCTATTCCTTATCTCCACATACCAGAAAAAAATCAGCAAAGATTTTAAATAATAACTATTAAGATATATTATGTTTTTAAGTGTAAAATAATAAAGTCTCAGAATGTCCATAAAATCAACCAGTTATCAATATGTTCATTCGATTTCCCTTCAGTAGATGGTGTTTCTTCTTACATATGGCAGGTTGCACACTGTCAGTCACTGCTTTGACCCAATCATCATTAGATTTTTTTTTCATTGTGCAGGAGAAAGACACTTTCCTCTATCCTTCAATGTTCTTTCCGCTCATCTAATAATGAAATATACATGAGACAGATTAACAAGAGAAAATAATCAAATTTAATTACATACGTACACACAAGAGAGTCAGAGACACCACATACATGAGAGGTTCAGGGACAGAAAGTCCCTGAGCTGAGGATGAAGATGCCTTGTGGCTTCAGAGGGGAGTAAGGTAATATGCAAAATGATAAGAGCAGATGTTCAGTAATTAGTAATTTGCCCTGCCCTATGGACAGTTCATAGAAAGTTATTTTTGATTAATAACTCTTATTATGGGCAAGGCCCTAATTTTAATTATTCTAGGTGGTTAAAGGGGGGGGGCGAAGTTTCTTTTTTTTTTTTTTCAGAAGTTTCTTATGAGCCTACAGGATTTCAGTTGCTTTAGCTCAAAATAATCCACTTACCACAAAGAGACATCTTAGGGTGACTTGTTCTGAACTCTGACACCATAGTGGTGTATCTAACCAATTATAGTAAAAATGAATGTCTTATATTGATCATTTTGGCAGTACACATGTGAAGGGTTTAGCATTCACCAGTGTGCTGAAGTAGGGCCTTACTAGAACAGGATTTCAGTTGCTTTAGCTCAAAATAATCCACTTACCACAAAGAGACATCTTAGGGTGACTTGTTCTGAACTCTGACACCATAGTGGTGTATCTAACCAATTATAGTAAAAATGAATGTCTTATATTGATCATTTTGGCAGTACACATGTGAAGGGTTTAGCATTCACCAGTGTGCTGAAGTAGGGCCTTACTAGAATGGAAGTTATCTATCTATCTATATATATAAAAGCCTAATATGCAAATTGTTCCCTCAGGAGTTTGACCAAGAGACTGGGAGTTCAATCGCTGGCTATGACGTGCGCTGACCACCAGGGGGTGGCGCATAATGAAGGAAGGCCCCAGCCGGCATTCGCCAGCCAGGCCTAGGGACCCTAACCGTGCACGAATTTCATGCAGTAGGCCTCCAGTTTAGATATAAATCTGCTTACTCTCTGTTATCTTCATTGAATTGAGAGAAGCCCAAGTGACCATCAGGACCGGAACGACTGGTCAACCAGCTGTTATGATGCACACTGATCACCAGGGGGGAAATGCTCACCTCCTGTGGCTCTTCCCCTGCCTGGCCGCCCCCGCCCCCATCAGTCCCGATGCGGGGGGCGGCCGGCCAACCTCCTGTGGCCTGTCACCCTGGCTGGCCAGGCCCCGATAGGCTTCGATCGCTAGCCAGGCTGAGGGACCCACCTGTGCACGAATTGCTATAGTAATACCAATCCCTTCAGTTCTAAATGTCTTCTAATTTCCATTTTGATGTTTTGACCCATGAGTTGATTGGAAGAGTAGAAATATGGGAGTTTACTTATTATCTTTTGGTTGTTGATTTCTAACTAAACTACCTAGTGGTCAGAGAATAATGATGCCAATACTTAGTCATGTAGAGAGACTTGCTTTATGACTCACTATGTTTAACTTTTGTAAATGTTTCATATATTCTTGAAAGGAATGTATATATCTGCAGTTATTGAGTGAAATGTTTTACATGTATTCATCAAATCAAGCTTGGTAATTGTATTGTTATTTAAATCTTCTAAATCCCTTAAAGATTTTTTGGTGCTCTTGATCCATGTATTAATTCAAAAGGGTGGCTTTGAACAACAGAAATGTATTCTCTGACAATTCTGGAAGCTACAAGTCCGAAATCAAGGTATCAGCAGAGTTGCATTCTCTCTGGAGTCTCTAGAGAAGACTCCATTCTTTGTTTCTCCCAGCTTTTAGTGGCTGTCAGCATTTGTGTGTGTGTGTGTGTGTGTGTGTGTGTGGCTTCATCACTCCAATCTCTGCCTCTGTAGTTACATTGCCTCCTCCTCTTCTCTGTCTCACCTTCTGTCTCAGATCTCCCTCTGCCTTCCTCTTTTGAGAACTCCTGTCATTGGATAATCCAGAATGATCTTCTCAAGATCTTTAATTACATCTGCAAAGAACCTGTTTCCAAATGGAGTAACATTCACAGGTTCCAGGGATTAAGACATGAATTTATCTTATGCAGGGTTACTATTAACCCACTGCAATCTACTAGAGAGATGTGTGAAAAATCATCTGCTCTGATGGTAGATTTCTCTTTCTTCTTGTACTTGCCAATTTTTGTTTTATGTCTTTTGTGAAAGTTATCAGAGACACCTTTATGCCTTTTATCTTCCTTGTGTATTGAATCTTTGATTATGTGAAGACCTCCATCTCCAGTCACATAACCATCCACCTACCTAGAAAGTCTATTGGTGACAAACTCAGCTATTAGTCTGAAAAGACTAATTCTCCCTCTATTATTTTTGTTGTTGTTGCTGGGCATAGAATTTTACATTTCCCCCCTTAGTATTCCAGTCAATTGTTTTTACTTAAAAATGTCCCCCCTTATTTTGTATTCCCAAAATGTCCAGGCCCAGAGAATTAAACACATGTGTTAATTTTAAAAAATGTCTTAATATAGGGGAGCATTGTCTGAAATTCATTCTAAGTTATTGATAAAAAAAATTCCATTAGGATTGTGCAGAATATATGGGAAACTATATGGAAAGAAGCTGAAACAAATGTGGACACTGAAGTACATTAGACAGTTTCTTAGTGGCTGAAGTGATTCTTCATTTCACACTAATTACATATTTGTGGAAATAAAGAGTATCTGCTAGCTTAAATGTATTAAAGGGTTTTTCTAGGCACTCCTTAGCACCAGTAGTTAGAACAAATTCCACAATAAGCAATTGTAACATATTTTGATATTACTGCTATTACTATAATTTGAGAATGTAGAGGAATAAAAAAAATGGAGTTACATAATCTTTCTCTGACCCTCAAAACTCTTACTCTCAAACTTGTAGTCTGATTTGTGAAATAGGGCATGAAGCTTGGTATTTTAAGTTCGCTAAAATTTCTGGCTTCAATGTATGGAGGAGTTAGAAACTTAAAAAAAAAATCCATGAATATTTCAAACGCATGCATTTTTTTTTTAGTCACCCTGCTAAGTTTCGGCTTTTATTCTCGGTTTTGAGGTTTGGGTGGTGTGGGCTAAGGCCGCGAGCACTCCCATAAAAGAACGTTGTCAATGTGCGACTCGAGCACTGTGGTGGCTCCCTAGCTCCGTCCCCAAACCAAGGCCGGGCTGCGAGGCCCTGGACGTGCGAGGGCCCGGTAAACCCGTTGAGCCCCCCAAAACCACCACCGAGAGGGTGGCGGACGGCACCAGACAGCCGGCTGGGGTTGGCATTCAGCTGTAGGAGGCGGCCCGGCTCTCGGTCGTCAGGGCAACCAGACGGCGAACGCGCGTGCGCAGCCAGACTCCCTTATGACGAGAGG